TACAGGCAGGACCAATGATAGCGCGAAGTGAGCCAGAACCCGCTGAAAATGAGCCGTTGGCTGCGCTGGAGGAAGAACTTGAATCTCTCTATCCCGAAATTGAAATACTGGCTGAGATGTCCACGAAACAACAGTTCGCCGAACCTATAATAGGAGAGTTAAGCAGTCACCACGAGGAGCTGCAAAATGCCTCACATGAAACGCTGGACTATGTAAGAGACGGACCGCCCCCCAATCAATATGCCGCACTGACACCGTCCAGGTTTTGGACGTAGTATCGGAGATGACGTCGTCTACAAATGGCCTTGTCAAGTGCCTGCAGGACAGGGAGTCTTACTGTGGAACTCTGGAAGCTATCGCTGCTGCGCACCGATCAGAGATTGGCGATATCTTTTTGGGCCCGCCTGTTAACAGGAGAGAGTCTTTGAGACGTTCCTCTGTACAGCCCGTTTCGGTTTTTACTTCAGCACAAAAAGACAATCGGCTCCATGATTCTCAATCAATAGCGAAAGTGTTACGCCGAGTAGGATTATCTTTGGATTCGGTGCTCCATGCAGACGAAGCCAGTGAATGCGCAGATAATCTAAAGGAGAAACGATATCAGTTGACTGAGAGCCTAAATGACCATGGTATTGCCGCAGACTCGCCGCTCATGGCTGAGTTACTCCCGACAGACCGAGCGATCCAGCTTCTCTCCACTTCTTTGCACGCCGATTCTGAATTTGAGACCTCACTTGCGAATCTGGACCATCAGAGGAAGCTCTCTGATCTCGAAGACGATTTGAAGGGTGTTCAGAAGGGGCTTGAGGGACTCGACATGAGCGTGGTCCATAGAAGAGATAGAGGGCAGGAGAAATTTGTGGAGATGTGGGGTTCGAAGGCCGTGGACGACTGAGCCCTGAGCGGCCTGAAATACATAATTTGAACATTAAGATACGCTGTTCGCGCCTGATCGTGAAATGCCATGTCTACTGGAGGCACTATAGATAATTGCGCCACTGTATTTGGACTACGAAAGTGTGGTAGGTACTAGAAAATATCCTCAATGTCATAGTTGCTTGATAGGAGGCAAACCGCTCATGAATATCGTAAGATACACATGTACTTGGATATCTGCGCCGCTTGGCTCGCGAATTCGGAGCTCCTTTGTTTTAATAAAGCTAGTATTTCAGACTCTGCATGGAAGCAGAATCGATTGCCTGTTTAGATAAGGTAACGAAAGAAACGGTTGGGTTGAGATCGGGCGCACTAATATCCGGCCAACTCCATTCCTCGCCTTTCACATTCCACCCTGTTAATCTGTACACCTGAAAATCAATCCCTTTCCCCCGCTTATGTATAGTGATTCAGCAGGGAGGCCTTTCTTGGTGCTTTTTCAAGTCGTCTGCTGCTGCTACTGACCGGCTAGTGAGCTGATCTCGACCCCAGTCCCATAGGTAAAGTGAGCAACCCAAGGAATGTTTACTGATAGCCGCCCACTGACAGATCGCACAGATGTTTCCTCCCTAGTAGGAAAATTAAGCACCGCCGTGTTTAATTCGAGCTACAGGCTTTTATCTCAGACTACGCAGCCGATTCGACTCGAATCTGGTGCAGATACTTCAGCATCAATTACATGCTGGGCAGTGTCCCGACCATGCGATACCTATCGGGGAAGTCAATATCCGCCTGTAGGTCCAGGGCCATCTGTGGCATTATTACCCTTGGTTTCCCGACAACGTACAAGGTCTCGCGATGAACAAGGAGAGCCCGTCGACTGTTGCGAGCCTTACGGAGGCAACTAATCCAATCCGCTCACCGAAAGAAGATGAAACAAAATTGGGGTCCAACTACCCAACTGATGTCTTCCAGATCTCGCCTACGGTAGCACTGGGACTGCTGTGCACAGGTATTGAAATGCTTGTGGAATCGTCCGCAGAAGAAGTGGGTTATTCCCGAGGAGCTGCCGTTCCTGTCCCCGGGCCCCTGGTCCACAGCGACAGTATATCTAGCGGGGAATCTACGCCGATAAGGGTCACTGGGTTATGTCGCTCCACAGAAAGCTACGATGAAGCAGGTCGTCACCTAAAACAGCAGAGTGTGCTGTCAAAACGATTCTCTTCGAAACGCCAGCCACCGATCACGCTGCAGGAGTATTTGCTGCGTATGCACAAGTTCTGCCCTATGTCTACAGGTGTTTATCTGGCTACAAGCATGTACATCATGAGGATGGTGACTATTGAACGGGTGATAGTCGTCAGCCGGAAGAATATGCATCGTCTGGTGCTTGCTGGACTTCGCGTGGCGATGAAGTCCTTGGAAGACCTCAGCTATCCCCACAGCCGCGTTGCTAAGGTTGGAGGTGTGACTGAGCGCGAACTGTCGAGGCTGGAGATCAGTTTCTGTTTCCTTGCGGATTTCGAACTACGGGTCGATGCGGATATGCTCGTCGACCAAGTAAGATTACTCCGAGAAATAGGCTGTTGCGGGGATCCCCTCCGTTAAAATTAGCCTTGATACGTTCGTGGAGCGAACATGGGCACTTTGATCTCCCACTAGGCGAATGTGCTTTGGAGAGGCCTGCAGGCGCCTTGGGGATGGCGATGGCCTTGTAGTTCTTGAATAAACTGGAAAGGTCCTCCGCAAATTGGTCCGGGGGTGAATTGTGGGGCGCATGGTTGGACTGTGGCCTTTCAACTTGAGCAGCATCTTTTCTGGGATACTCTACTGCGTATCGACTATGAGAACAGAACGCCAAATCGAAGGACTTGTCTTGCTTTCGATTTTGGAGAAACAATCTGTGTGCACGTATTACAATGCGGCTGCCTAACCGCCCCATCAGTTAGCGACTGGTGTATTGTACTAGTGAACTAGACAGCTGGGCTGAGTAATGCCTGTCGGGCGCAATTCGTTGTTATACTGATTGACGGTCGAAAGTTCTGTTCTCAGGGTATGTTAGACCCTCTACCACCAAGATGTTCCTGTATCTTAAAGGACTGGGCTTTCAAACAGTATGACAGTAAGAAGATTGCGGAGTACTATGTAGCCAACTCGAATTCTAGTCGGGGAGTTCGTATTCGCATTAGTAATAACGCAGGGAAGTTGTGGGTAAATGTAGACCACGTCGCGAAAGGCGGAGTGGAAGGACGATCCGTCAGCCTTTCGGGAAGGGAGAGGCTCATCCCCGGGGCTTGTCTGCTGCGCCATGGTTTATTGCTGCTACGCTCAGCTGTTCTTCCGCCCCCATCTAATTTTCGGTCTTCTCTTTCTTCATCACAGCCTCGAAGGCCACCGTTGCCTTTCTGGATACGACAGTACCGGCTTCAAGAAATTCCTGTTCACTTCGCAATGCTCCTTTAAGTTGGGCTCCGCAAGACTACTCAACTGACTCGTGACCGCCGAACGCTTCATCGACCACGTCCTTTTTTTGCGGCGGCAATTCCTATCTCCCCGTCCTCTCTGTCTAGTCCAGGAACAGTTGCGCGCGTGCTGGACTGCATCTTGATATAATCGCGGTTATCATTTTGAAATGTCTTCCGGGACTCCGAGCAGCAGCAGCTCTGCTGGTTTGGGACAAAGTCCGCACTCCCTCCCCAGCGGCAAAGGCACCACCACTCCCCCGAAAGTGACCCAGCAAGATGCGACCGTTGAACTTAAAGACATGAAACCGGAACGCGGTGGTGTCAAGGGCTCGATCCCCATTGGTGAAGATGTCATGCAGATTGCCCGTATAGGAGAGATCGCAGTTATGCAGAAAATGTTTGATGAGAAGAAGTCCCACCCCAACTATAAGGACGAAGAAGGAATCACCCCGTTACATGTGCGTGTTACCGATATGTCTTTCGCACCTGTCTTTTGTATTGATTTCGAACTAACAATGCTATATTCCTCTTCTAGTGGGCCGCCATCAACAATCAATATGCCATGTGCAAGTTCCTACTCGACTCTGGCGCCGACGTCAATGCGAAGGGAGGCGAATCTGTCGCTACACCCGCGATGTGGGCAGCTCAACGTTGTCACTATTATATTGTGCACCTGTTGCTTCAGCACGGCGCGGACCCTCTTCTTACAGACGTCCAAGGCTACAACATCCTGCACCTAGCTACTATCGACGGGAATGCCTTTCTGCTCGTGCTTTTACTTCACCAGGAGATCCCGGTGGACGTTCCCGATCAACAAGGTCATACAGGGCTGATGTGGGCGGCATATAAGGGATTCCCCGCTTGCGTGGATCTATTCCTGCGCTGGGGCGCTAATGCCAATGCCGTTGACGACAGCGGCTTAACTCCCTTGCACTGGGCTTTGGTCAAGGGATCGTTGCCTTGCGTTCAAAAGCTCATTGAATATGGCGCTGATAGGTTCGCGAAGACCAGGGATGGTAAGACCCCAGCGACGGTAGCGGGCGAAATGAATACCACGCGTGTGTGGTATCGTGCTCTGGACGAGTGTGGCTATGACTTCGATGGGAACACGAAGGTTCTTCCCTTCGGATTGACGCCTTGGGTGCGGAACAAGAGCACCATGTCTAAGTTCTTCTTCTTATGGCCTTTCTTGATGATTTTCGTAGCTGTCTGGGTTCTCAGTAACTTGGTTGTGTTCGCTGCCGTCCCTATTATGATCGCAACAGCTTATGGACTTCAATGGTTGGCCCAGAAAGTGGCCAGTCAAAGCATTTCAGAGTATAGGATACTGCAAAAGACGGTACGTCAACGATTACCCCTTGCATCTCCTCACTCTGTTCGTCACTGATCCGCAACCCAGCCTTACCTATCGGGCGTCTTTGCAGGCTCTTTGTTCTGGGTTGGTGTGAGATACATCTTCTACGTGCTACCAGGTGAGGCTCTCCCTGCTTTTCGTATAGATGTCTTGAATTCGATTTCCAACGGGATTATGCGAAGCCCCAGCCAGCGTTTACTAATAGCCACTTTTGCCAGCCACATATACCACAAATCCCATATCGAATATTTGTTTTGCTCTGTTCTTCTCAGCGACAACATATTTCTATTTCACCGCGATGATTGAAGATCCTGGGTTTGTCCCAAAACTTGGCAGCAGAAACCAGCAGCGAACAGTTATTGCGGAACTTTTTGAGCAGTGGAAATTCGACGAAGAGAACTTCTGCGTTGCGTGCATGATTCGAAAGCCTTTACGGAGCAAGCATTGCAAGCGCTGCGGGCGTTGCGTTGCAAAACATGACCAGTAAGACCCTAGTTGAGACTGGAGTTAAAAGCTCGAACATTGACATCCTGAATAGTCACTGCCCGTGGATTGATAACTGCGTAGGCGCCAACAATCTGCGCCATTTTGTATTATACATCACGTGTCTTGAAGCGGGTATAATTCTTTTCGTGCAGCTGACATACTCCTGTAAGTATCAACTCCTCTTCTTCTCCGGATTAAAGACTAACGGCCAGTACAGACATCAATGTCTTGCCAGCACCCGTCAATCCTACCTGTAATGTCATTAACGATGCGCTATGTGATTTTGTACTTCGTGATACATTCACCCTCGTCCTTGATGTGTGGGTCATCATTCAGCTGGTCTGGGTCACTATGCTCTGTGCTGTTCAGCTTGTCCAAATTTCGCGGAATCAGACGACATACGAAAACATGAGGGGGCATTCGATCGACAGAAGCTACCCAAGCTCTCGTGCTTTTGCTTCGGCTTTGGCTGCAGGAACTACCTCACTCGATGCTGCTGGCCTTTCCTCTGCTGGCCAGGGACCGAATCCAGCTCTTGCCCATGGCCACCGCCACCGGAGGGGCGGTTGTCTGAAGCAGTGGACTTCCCTTCTCGGCATTGATGCCTTCTTTGCGACAGCAAGGGATGGATTGCGAGATGGTCCACGTGCTTCTCGGGCGAAGAATCCCTTCTCTCGAGGTGTAGTCACCAACTGCCGGGACTTTTGGTGCGATCCGGCTCCATACTTCGGACAACGGGAGGCGGGATCTGGCATGCTCGGCGGTGAAGCAATCAACTACAACCAGATGTACGAGATGCCGTCACGTATGCACAGCGGCGGAAGATATCGGAGCCTGGCAGACGAGGACCCGGAACGGAATGCATAGATGCATTCTTGTGTCTTCGATTGACTGACCATTCAGGGTTTTCAATATGCCCTTCAGACGACCAATAACCTCCGAGGAGATGTCTCGATCTTCTATATGCGATCTAATGAGTACCGGATGAGCCCTTCCTTCTGATGATATGTTTGACTGGAATAGATGGTCATGGATGGTGTTTTAACCCTTCATGCCCTCCCATTATCTTCATGTATTATCTTCTGCATATAAAGATCATGATATATTAGTAGATATATTTACTTTAGACCAAATATAACCTGGCAGATTACTGAATAGCATACATTGCAGGCTAATCTACCCAACCGGAGAAAAAGAAGTGGGTGTAATCATCACCTTGCTATGAAGCTCGAGGGTGCTTCCGAGATGGCAGGGAACGGAATAAGGAAAGCCAACGAACTTGAAGCCCATAGTAATAGCGCAATGCAATGAGTACAATTGCATTCATTCAGCTTAAGAACCGAAGGAGTGGATGGAATACATAGAGTGAAGTGTCAGATGGGGAAAAGGAGAGAGAGAGAGAGAGAGAGAGAGAAAGAGAGAGAGATCAAGACTGAAGAATACACACCACTGCAAAGGGGTAACAGTAATCAGTGGAGAACAGGATGAGGATAATTGACCGTAAGTAAGTAACGTACATACAGCGTCTATACAAGATTCATACATACGAAGATAATCTCCACACCCGCGCCCCATACTGAACCAAGCTTCAGAAGCCGAAAAAGCCGATGTCGCAATAATAAAATTACAGAGTATGCATGCATGTATGCATGTTATGTATGTATTCGTTTTTCTTCCGTGTCTAAACCTTGGAGAAACTTTCTCACTTTGGAGTAAGGGGAATGGGAATGATTGGTCTGAAACCTATTTTTCGTCTGGTTGTGGCTTTAAAACCTTAGACTCAAAGTCAAAATGTCACGCTAAGATCTTATCTCGGCAGGAGCGGTTTGATTGATTGATTTGATTGTAATTTTGCTGGATGTGGATATTTCTCTTTCACTTGACGGTTGGTTCCCTTATTTTTCCTTTCTGACTTTTGTTACTCCCAGGGCCCTTTTTTTTTTTTATTTTTTGAGTCACGGGGTGTCTGTCTTCCTTCTACCTTTTTCTTTTCTCTGTAGGTAGATTAATCAGAGTATGTATCTATCTACATCGATACATATTCCAAGTTCAGAAATTCCATCTAGGCAGGCAGACAGCTACCTACCTAATTTCCCTCGTAAGTAACCGCAAGCCTGTGCGGTGGGTCTGTCTAGCTTCCACACACCGTGACGCTTGCAATCCCGGACTTTTCAGTTTCATTGGGTCTACATTATGGTAGAAATGTCCCCGGGACCACTCTTCGTCACGACCCGAAGCTGGGTACTACATAATTAGTAGAATAGAAACAGACTTAGCGGCAGCAAGTTACGAATTACTATATGATATGATCCATGGATCACGGATCCAATATATTATTATCTGATTGAAGCGGTCAGGCCACCGCTTCGTCCAAGGCAAGTGGACTGTATGTTTTTTATTTCCATCTGATAATGAATTGAAGAAATCATGGATCCATGGAACGGTAGGTGTTGGGCTGATTGATTAGGGCAAGGTGGTGAAGTGTTTCTTATTCTCTTTTGTGCAGGGGTATATAGGCTACAGTGATTGTTGACTCGAGTATTGTTGGTTGTTCTGTTCGTTACGTATTATATGGGGGACATATGTAGTGGTTCCTAACGATTAAGATTTCTGCTTCTTAGTATGTAGAATATAGATTCATGCATCAGATGATCAGGGTCTTTTACTTTTCCTTCCACTTTTCTATTTATTGTTTCCGACTTTGCTGATCTCTCGACATCCCACGGATGATATTCCAGATAGACTCGTGTGCTTTTTTTGTTGGGTTGCAGAATGCAGGCTGGGATTGCAGATCGTTCGATCTTCGCCCTCCTGACACAACTAGTAGTATCTAGATTGGGGGAAAAGAAGAACAGGACCCTGGAAGATGGAACACCGGTCGCCGGTACCTGGCATAGCCGGCCTTTCCACAAGCGTGGACCGTCTGATCGGGTCACCACAGCACAAGCATGCTACATGGTAGTAAGTACATCCGAAGTTCATAGCTAGCTAGAAATGCATCCAAACTCGGAATTTCTCTAATTGATTCAGGTGGAAATACTGAGGCAAACATACTAGACCCGATGCGGATGTTTTTTTCTCTCCTTCTCGTGATATACGCGTGGGGTTAGAAGGGAAAAGAGGCTCCGGAGTTCGCGGAAACGGCGAGACTACTTGAATTTGAACATTTGGGCTGGCTGGCTGGTAAGCTGGTAAGCTGGGTAATGCCTGTCTGCCTGCCTGTCCAGGATAAGTAAGTAACTTCAGCTGCCTACTTGTGATTTTCTGAGCAGGCTGCAGCCGTCAGGGACAGGAGGCTAACAACCCTGGCTTTTTTTTTTACGATTGGCGGAGGAAGGTGAATAATAATGACGACTATTATTATTACTATTATAATAATAACAACTGTGGACATGCCACTGGCCCAGACCTGAATGGGGATCGGCGCATGTCTAGGGAGTCGACTGTTCCAGGCGCCCGTTCCGGTTTCCATGTCGCATGGTTCCGCGTGTACTGCTTAGGGATTAGTCTCGTCTCGTCTCGCTAGTCGCGTTGTCTTTGCGCCAGTAGCAGCAAAGGTTGTTCAAATCAATTGTTGCATTATCCAACAATACGAGATTCATCGACAGATCGTCTCTCAAATGTTTGAGAATGTAGGAAGTAGCGTGGTGTATAAATGCGTAGGTAGGTAGTTGAGTTTGAAGACGAGTCCTGGAGTAGTAAAGGAGGCTAAGTATTTGCCTTGACTGGATCAAATTCTTCTCCGCCAATTAAGCGTTAGCTACACCCCAGACAGACAAAAGAAAGTACGTACTGTGTATAGCTACTTACTAGCTAGATTAATATTACGGCAGCAATTGTTCCTCATGGTCTGACCAATGCACCGGAGTTGTCTCCTTATCTAGCCGTGCCGGACAGCGAAGTGATTTTTTCTTCTTTCTATTTTTCATTATTTTCCTTGTTGTCTTCGTTATTCCCTCACCTCCAAGTCCCTAGGGCCTTGGTATTGTGGGAACGAAGGAAAGGGAAAAAGCGGGGCCGCTAAGAATTTATCAATCACTGATCAAGCTGTTACCTGATCGATCAAAACTGACTGGGAGTTTCTCGTTGGATGTGTTTCGGAGAGGTCCGTTTTTAATGCTACCGGTATAGGTTTAACTCCGAGAAAATCCCTCGGGAACCGAGACACAACAAGGGCTGGTGGCAGCTATGGTCGGGGAAAGGGGGCCAGAAAGCAAACTAATTGAGTAACCCGTATACCGAAGCGAGAGGGTAAGTTAGTGTGTGCGTGCGTGTGGGTGGATATGAAAAAAAAACCGAGACCACACGGATCAATCTGCATGGTGCCTCATCGTAATCAATCAGTGAGTGGGTCTCTTCATCCACCCAAGTGGTCCCCTGGCAGCGAATGGGCGTGGAGAGCGGGAACCGCAGCGGAAAAACAGCGCGCCTGACTCGGCGACGGGCGCTGATGCGGTTGGGGGATGGCGCCATCAGATAACGTGCGAAAATTTTTATCTGATCAGATTATCAGAATCCCTCCCCGACCCTCAACCAAGGTTGAGAGCCAGCGAGTCAGCGATGCCCACCCGCTTCAATTTCTCTTGCTCGGAGTCCAATTGACAATTGTGTTCAATTTCATGGACCCTCCTCCTGAGATATTTTCCCTCACTTTGTTTCCTTTGTGTCTGTTAAAGTGCAGAAACACCGTTTTTTTCCTCGTTGCGTATTCCTGGCGGCGGTTAATTTGGTCAGGGCCAATTAGCCTGGTCGCTTGACGTCAGCGGGTCCGTGCTAGACCGGCGGTTGTGCGACCAGCCCACTCGCTTTTCCCTCCTAGGCACTCATTCTCGTTCCCCTGTCGGTTACAGGCGCATGTCAGGGGGGGCGGATAAAGTTTGAGGAGAATGAATAACATCTGTAGCAGATAAAAAAAAAGCATCGTGCGCAATTTGCATGGCCTTCTCCATTAACACAATGAGCGGTGAAATTTAATCAATAAAGACAGACTTGATGCATTCCGATCTCTATTCGTTATACAATTCCAATGTGGCTGGCTATATAACTCGCAATGGGGTACTTGGGGAATCAGATGATGGGGCAGTAACAATAGTAACAAAGTATAGGTAATGAGACAGAGAATTGAACACAGGTACAGTCAAGTAGATGATCGCAAAAGAAGATATCACCCCCTACCAATTTGTTTGGGGATATGCACGCTCATTTTCCGGGGCATTCCTTTGCTGCAAAAAAGAAATGCCCGCCCTAGCGCCATCATTCACACGCGTCTAGAAAGCGGAACCCCTCCTGGGTCTCCAACCCGATAAAAAGCCTTTACAGCATAGCGCGCAACTTCGTGACCGGCACCGTTGCACCCGCAAGCTGCTCACCAAAGATCGACTCCACCATCTCTCCACCGCGTGCTGCCAGCACCGACAAAAGACTGTCGCTCAGTCCGTGTGTCTTCTCGTTACAGCCCTGCAGCCAAATTCCAGCATAGGGGCTGACCTTGCTGGGATCCATCTCGACCCGGTAATCCCGGCTCGGCTTCCATTCCTCCTGGCCCTCCGGTCGCAGATGCTGCACATTGCTCAAGAGCTGTTCATGTGCGTTGCGGTAGTAGCCGGTCGCCACCATGAGTGCATCTACCTCCAGTGTCTCCTTGCCGTCGCCGACAAGGCTGTCCGATCCATCCTTGGTCGCCCTCACGTGGATCCGCATCCGACTCTGAGGTCCATGGTGTTCGACTCGCGTGATCTTGCGTCCGGGGAGGATGCGGTGCTGCCATTGCTTCTCGTCGGGGTTCTTGACCCGCTGGACGTACATGTCGTGGTAGATCTCCTCAATGAGTTCAAGGCGGACCACACTGTAGTTGGTGGCCTTGTCGGCCTTGAGGGAACGCTGGCGCTCTTCGGCAGAGAGGTTATAGAACTTGTCGACACGTTCGGGGTTGAAGACCTCGTTCACACTATATTGTTTGCTGTTAGTCGCGCCATGATGGGAGTGCGAAAGGTATTATACTCACAAAGGAGAGTCGTCACTAGGCCGCATAGCCGAATCTCTCATGATCAGTGTTGTCTTCGAGTTGGGGTATCTCTTTTGCAAGTCGTGGAAGATCTCAGCAGCACTCTGGCCACTTCCAAGAACGGCAATGTTGTAGGGTTCGTTCGGGTTCTTCAGCAGGTGGGGCAGGTTGGTGCAGTACTTTGACGAGTGCATAATGCGGGGGTCCTGGGGCAGGCCTGGGGGCATCTTTGCTGAGCCACCAAGTGCAGTCACCACCTTGCGCGCTCTTCTCGCAATGATTTCACCCGTCTCAACGTTGCGAGAGCGGACGGTGAAGAAGTCAACTACCGAGCTGGTAGGGTCCGTCTTTCCGGGCGTCACATCGACAACTTCCTCTCCATAAGACACGACATCGGAGAACTGTTGCGCACACCACCGCATATAGTCTTCGAATTCCAAGCGGGCCGGAAGGAACGTCCCCAGATTCGTGAAATGGATCAGACGATCCTTCTGGTGCAAATAGTTGAGGAAGGTGAAGCTGCTGCGAGGATCACGAAGGGTCGCCAGATCCTTGATGAAAGAGATCTGCATCCTGGAACCAGGGACCAACATGCCCGAGTGCCAAGCGAACTGCTTCTGGCGTTCGACAAAGCAGACCTTGGGCTGCGATCCAGGCGCAGGAGCGGACTTATTCAGACAAGGGTCCAGAGCATCGTGCAAGGCAATTGCGATCGCCAAAGAGGCAGGACCGAAACCCACGCAAAGCAGGTCGTGAAGCTCATCCCTGGGGGTGGCCTTGAGCTTCGAGGGCACTCGCTGCTGCTTGGAGGGCATGCTGCGCTGGCTGTGGAAGCTCACTTCTGGCTTCCGTACCGCAGGTTCCATTGATGCAAGCTTAGTAGGAGAATAAGAGAACTAAAAAGGGTGTGATTGAAAGAAGAGGTAGAAGTTCCGTGCTCAGAGTTCGGGGAGCAGGAAGATGGGAGGAAGACGCAATAATGATGGGATTCTGAACGAAGGTGGGAGAGAACCGCGGCAAATGGTGGGAGCGATGGTCGTAGTTATATCCCCCGGTGGATAAACAGAATGGGGGGGGTGGGAAGGACAGTAGCTTCGAACTTAGTAGACACTGGAGACCTTTGCGCCGTAAGAGTGAAAAGAAAATAATAATAAAATAAAATAAAATAAAAAGATCAAGGTACCAAAAGGGTAAATTCGACTAAAAAAAATTAAAAATGTACAGAAAGTATGACGACCGTAAAAAAAAAAAAAGGGTATCAGCGCCGAGCCCTTTTTTTTTTTTTTTTTTTTTTCTGAAGCAGCGGATCCGTAAGGACGGGTTTTTTCCAGACCACCGAGTAAAAGCAGTAGCCGGCGGTGGTTCTTCTGACAGCGGGCCGGCAATGGCCTATTTGATAGGCACTCCTCGGTTCCACCACCTGCTACATGAGAAACGTGGTTGCTGCTCCTCTTTTTTACGTACTGTTTTGATGCTGGGACACCGAGGCTCTTGACGGTTGACGACGTAAAAGTACGTATAACAAGTAGACTATCAATGACCCTGAAGGTTGGTCAAGCAGGTAATCCAACAGAGGATTGGTATTGTCTCAGCGTTAATCCTGGAGGAGAGACGAGTCTTCACATATTAGTAGTATAACTGAAGAAATCCAAACGCCATATGTCGAAATCTCAGGCATATATGGCAGTTCCCTCGGAGATAAGATGATGTCTGATCAGGCCCAGAAGAGCCACCTGTGGTTTTAACTTGTAAACGAAGTGCTAACCGTAGCCCCTCCCTTTCCTGCCTTTCCTCGCCCCAGATCCGTTTGCACCCTGGGAAGTTGAGGATCACGCCACAATCACCATCACCATTACCCCCAGTGACAATTCATCCGAGCATATTCAGCCAGCTATACCCATGAACTATTTTCAATAGGATTTAGAAAAAGCAAAGAAAGCAAGCAATAAACCAGGCTGCCTACTCAGTCTCCGAGCCCCGAGAGCCGACCATGGAAGCCCCGCAGCATGATCCGGTGTGCAATTATCCAGGAAAAGTGGGATGATGGACGCTTAGATTAGATCCGCAGTCGCCCGATGTCGGGAAATTTCACGGCGTTTCTCAAAACTGGGCTGAAGGGCGGTATCCGTATTGTATTGACGCCCAACTTACATTACTTCTTGTGGCCGCTTAGACTGCTCAGGTACCAATCTTGATAAGCTTTCCCTCAACACAATTGAGAATCAGCATAACCGAGTATAGGCTCTTGTCAGTCACGAAGCCGCCCAGGCATCAAAAGTATTGGCTACCATTCTCTTGGGGGTCGCACGATATCTCTTCTTTTTTCTTTTTTCCCTAGGCCGCCCGGTGACCATGGGGGGTACATTCATGCTAACCCCCAACCCTTGGACTGGTGGCGTACCCCAAATGAACATCCAGGGACCACTCCATGCATTGGAAACCTTTCCCGCTGCATTTCCATGTCGGCGATCAGTAGTAAGGTTTGCCGGTCAGCGGGCCTCAGCAGAAAGTGATCGCATGGATACGGTGTCCCACACACGCATGCAAGATCGCAATCTGTACGGAATGCGGCAAGCTCCATTAGAAATTGACTGTACTCCTTCACCTCTCTGAGGGCTTCCTACACCGATTGATCATTCAAATGACCAAGATCATCTACTTGTCGAAACAAGACTAGTAGTCTGTGGTGCCCACCTTTGCTGGCTGATCATACGGTAGTTGGTCTCAAGGTCCTACCTGAATGTGATTTGCTTCTTCGGCTGTTGTCTGGACCTACCAGATATCATGGATTGCTAATCTACTCGGTTTACACCGTTCTATGCCCTACCTTTTTTGGGGAGTCCACTGCTGCCCTGATCTTCGCACCGGCTTCGCCCTAACAATTTACGGCTCACAGGAAAGAAAGAAAGGAAGGAATCCCCCTCCATTGCCCCCACACCACAGCAATACGAAGTTGTATATATCCCTGTTTGGTAGATGTCTCATAGCCCCATGCAAGCATCCAGAATTCCTACTCTAGTACAATGTGGTGGATACTTACTGTCTCACTTGGAGTGACTACACCCAAGTGCTGCCCGTCTAGACACAATTTATCAGAGGGAGTTTATTAGGGGTGTCTCCCACAACACCTTTACTATTGAACCAGTAACGAATGAGCAACTATAATCAGAGCCAGATTTCGAAGCACGTGCTTTTTTTACACTTGAAACATATAGAGGTATCTGATCGCCAGACCTAGTAGTGCGTAGTAGTATATGACATGGGAACATCATGGCCCGCACGGTTACCCCGCCGCAAAACCCCCCTCCTTTGGGACTCGGACGTGAACAGGGATCATTTGTCTGGATTAGAGTCCACTATGGACGATCTTACTCTCTCCATTACTTGGCCTAGGTTCTGTGCACATTCAATCTCATTTGACGAGGAGAGATTTGAAAGCGTGGGTCGACACTGGCCAAGGCTAAAACTGGATGACTATAACTATGAACTGATTTGCCCGAAGCTTCGGCTGGCCGATCGCTGTTTTGGTCTTACTCATTTTCCAGCGCTTGCCTCGACTACTAGTGCTGCTGTGTACTTGTGGGTACCTTGCTCCTTTGATCGTGTGGTAAATCTCTTTCGAGTACCTAGTACTACTTACGTATGTCCGAAGTCGATCCATGAGCCTGTCGACTCTCACCTTGTTGTTGTCTCCACTCCAATGCAGCAGCCCCCCTCATCATACGAGAGAGTCCGCTTATTTACCGCCATAATCGAGCCTCGAGCTTATGAATATCTGAACCATGGTTGGCTCGTGCAAAACGCTATCTAGGCAGCTAACCTCGTTCACGCTATTGGGGTAGCAGGTTGGGTATCTTGGTCTAGTTCAGCCTCGAATCATGTGCCAGTACGCCAGGTTCAGACGCCATTGTTAGAAACAAATGCAACATCCCTCTTTCAATGGCATTGTCCAGCCACCACTTGATCCTTGAGGTATTTCCCCTCTTCCATAAAATTTGCTTATATTACGCGACCTCTGACTGGCTGTGCCCCCGCATGATAAATTACTCTATACAACCCCCATCTCTTACCAAGGAAATGATGGGCATAGCTTTTCTCAGATGATGCAGGCCAATGTCACTGTGGGAGATCTCACTTTCCGCGAAAATATCTATGGAGCTCGCTTCCTGCTTCTAGTACATAGTAGTAATGGTGGGCCCCCCAAGAAGGGGTTGATCGGAATCGATATGTTGTTGATTTCCCTCTTGCCAGTACACGAATGAGACTCGGTGCTTCAGAAAGCCACCCAAGTGTCCTCACTAGTGATACTCAAGTATACCATGTATCACAGCTCGACAAATCAGTTACTCAAGGCGATACCTCTCCCATTTATTTACATGTGAGCTGCCACACGCATCTTCGGCAGAGACTATGAGAATACTCACTACCCAGCAAGACTATGCTCAGTCATCATCAATCGTTATATCACAGTACAGTCCTGTTTGAACAGCCCCGATGAAGATTTTAACATATATTCGTGGGGCGTTTCTGGGTGATGCAATCGCTTCATATGATGTACCGTATAGTGCAGCCTTTACGTTGATGAACCCACCGGTAAACCGCAGGTATAGTCCTGCACTGTGTTTCGTGAAGGCCTTTGCGTCTAGATTTCGAGGATTCTCATCGGGTGCATCCACTGTGATCAGTTGATGACACAATAGAATGCAGTGAAGCATGGGAGTCTCCTCAATCATAAGACAGATGCTATCTATGTGGAAGCCTTCAATGTATATGGCCAACAGCCCTTTGCATGTTTTCAGAAACATATTGTCCAAATCTAGGATGGAGCAAAGTGTACCGATACCTTGGTCCGACGTACCCTAAAGTCACGCCACAAGGCATTATCATAGAGAGAATACTCTTATGCAAACTTCGCATTTATACTATGGCTCAGTATCCCAGACCTAGGCCGCTTGCAACAAGAATGAAGGGTCATAGCTGTATTTCAACAGGGACGCTAGTCATCCCTCGTTCTCATTTACTCGAAATAGCACTATACCAATATTGCGCTTATGTTAGTGTGAGATGATACTTTCTGAAACCTACGTTTTCTATGGCTTCCTGAAGAAACATCCCGTCGAACTTGCATCACGCCACTGGTACTTGTTATGACTCGAGCAGGTGTAACACGCTGCCAAAGCACGTCCGAATCCAGAATCCACCAGGTGCAGCTGCCTATCACTAGTAAAGCCATTCGTGCAATCCCAGCACTATCTTTGGACAGCCATCCAAACAGCACCGTCATTGCATGAGTATTTTGTAGTACCTACCATAACATTGGCACGCATGGTTTCAGAGCCCCACGCTTGCAACTCGAAGCACTCCCTTTGTCTGTCAGAGTAAAACTCCGAACACTGTTCAATCTAAATTCTCCTTCCTGTCTGTCTGATGGATATCCCCGGCTAGACGCTGCATGCGCTTGCACAGCGCATTATTTTTCAGTCCCCTTGCTGCAGACTTTTCTATTCCATGCGAGATAGAAGCAATGATTGCATGCTCTTGCTGCTGTCATTCTGATGCACAGTTCCGTATACTCCGACATACTCAACTATTCAGATAGGAGAATAGGATGTTTCGGATGTGAATGCACGTTAGACACCTTGGGGTATCCTTCTTTATCTATGACGCTTTAGAGGCTCAGGAACTTGCTATTTATTACTTGGTGGTCGGTTTACAAGCATCCACTATCAACCAGATTGTTCTAAGCAAGTGATTATCAGAGAGAATATGGAAGCGACGGCGTTTATCTTTGTCAAATCATAGGATAAACTTCCACTTGGGCGGCGGGGGCATGGGAGATACTAATATCACGGAGCTCCCATTCAACAGAATGCTTCTGAGGCCTAGTACCGATGGCTACAGCTCTATTCTCAGCTTATCAATCGAAGCACGAATCCTGTTCTTTTTACTCTGCACTAGCCCTGATGCTAAGCACCTTACGCAAAAATTCAGATGTGTGCTGGCGACAATGGACTCTGAAGCCCAAAAAATTGTCGCTATAATTAGTTTGTTTCCTAGCAGAACAACTAGTATGCTCTTGTTCTGTCACGAACAGCTAAGGATATCCCGCATTCCTCAAAAGGCTGTATATTCAGAGAGACTCCAAACAAGCCCGGCTAAATTAAGTATGTTAAGTGAACACGTATGATCGTAGTAGGACAACCTAACACTAGGCTTACTGTCTCTTCTGCCTCCGTTTCCCCAAATACTGATGAACGTTTAATGCGACCGCAATAATCCCGCAACAGCCAGAACTTGTTTCACACAGCGATAGAGTTCCACAATATGTTGTTTGCTGAATCCCGGTTTGAGTAGGTGCATTGATGCTCCTTGGGGGTATTGCTGCTAACTCACCGACCCAATAGACCAAGCCACTACGATTTTCTGAAGATCTGGATGGCTGAAGGACGATTGCAGGGTATCTCAATCAATACTATCGAGCATCCCGTGCAGCAAAATCGGGATTTGGCGCAGCCTCAACTACTGATGAGACATGTCATATTCAACTAATAATGGCCGTGGCGATGTTGATCATGGGCGACAAGATTAGATTTGGGGTTCATGCAGTAATACGATATCAATTACCGATTTAGTCGAAGATGTTGCGGACGGACCACGCCGAGAAACGGCCAAAGTGGCTGCAGAAAGGTTATGGGATCTTGAGGGCTCGGCGTAAGGGATAAGATCACTGCATGCAATCTATGCATGAATGCTGAGCTGAATCTCAATCTTTACCTTGTTTGGGCTCACGGCGACAGAACCTGAAGCAGAGCAGATCTTTGCTGACTCATGCTGTCGACAACGCTTGGACTTCTAGGGATGGATGAAGTCCAATAAATCGAATCAAGGGTTAGAGTAATGACCTGGATCTGCCTAATAATTGCCTATGGCCGTGATGAAATAGTGCCTAAGGTGACTTTCACGCAAGATTAGTATGTGCAAGGAAGGGTTCAGGTGTTGACATTGGCTCGTTGTGTGGTAATACTCTTAGTTGTGGTTGTTGATTGCGCTACTATATATTTTGGGGATAGTGCTATCATTCGAACGGACTAACTCTGCGCTTTACCAACAACACCAGCTACCATCGTTGTAGCGCAACATACTCCAGGGGCAAGAAAAGAAAATCCCATAGAAAATTCGCTTCAAGATTCAGGTATTTGGTATGAGTGCACAGCCAACGTCATCGATGCACGCTTGTCGGCTCAGGACATAGTCTACCCATGATCACCTTGCACAAGTCCAGTCGCCTGAGGCAACGAGACCGTTTCATTCCTTCAGACGCTAGAGCTCGGAAGCTGGCAATCTAGATGGAGATCGTGTGGGGAATACGCCTTATGTCGAGAATTATGATGTTATCCATCATATTCGGGGTACGTCAAGGTTGGTTACCTGAGTATCTTATGACGTATGTACCAAGGGGTTTTATGGAGAGGAAGTTGGTGGTATGTATCAATGATTACTGGGAATTGCACGACAGAAACGGTAAGTACTAGGGGTATCCATCCACCTGAGACTATGATCTGCGATTGGGGGCCCTCCGACGTCAGTATCTCTCGATTTGGACACGTCGACAATGAGGGACAACACGTGGTGCTGAGGGGTTTGGACCGTAGGGTTGAAGTTGGGCCTCTCGAGATAATAGTGGCGACAGCATGGTAAACAAACGCGTGAGTGAGACTTGTTGGTTACCCTGGCATCTAGGTATAAATCACATTGTTTACCTATGTCAAAGTGGCAAGTTATGAGGTATAGGATCCGCCTATTACGCCTATGCCGCAAGTTGTCTAGAGATCAACTAGAAGGATGATGGAAGCACGGGAAGATGGGGCGTCGGGACCCAAAAAAGATGCCTAAGCCGCGCCGTGCCTGACTCGAGTCTAGTTGAAAGGTGTGGAGAAAGAGACAATGACCAATTTGAAATAAAACCAGAACAAACGAGAAAGAACAAGAAGAAGAATAGTTTCACACTGACGAGATCTTTGCCACTATCATCTTTCTATTGGCATACTGTAGATACTACTAGTGGATATAGCACGAGACTTGGAAGCAGAAAAGGATTGGTGGCGATAACTCAGGGAAAGATTACTACTACTACTACTACATCGTATCAACTAGTAGATTGGCAGCTCTTAGCCTGGCAAAACTTAAGCGTCTCATAGTTGGTGGCCGGATTGAACCAAGCAAACATTCGATTTTTGGTTTCATTTTGGCGCACATGCAAGGGAGCAGGATAAATAAGTTGATCCGGTTCCCCCGCGGTGCTCTTATCAACCATTATCGATATGATATTGTTTAACAATGGGGGAGGGGCGATGGCGGATAGAACCCGAAATCTTGTCTTGGAGTGAAAGAGCCGGTACGGGAGAAATTACTAGTACCGCGGGATGGATGCCTGAACATCATAAGCCAGGCTAGCTAGTCAGCCAATCAAAATTAGACCAACAAAGGATGATTTAATCCTCTAGACATAGTTAGGTTAAAAAAATATTTAGGACTCTGTGCTGCTATTATGTGAACTTGGGCTTAACTTGCTTCACTGTAAAGTGTGGCAAAGGGGCCTCACAGTAAGTTGTGTATGTGTGTGTGTATGTACGGTAACTAACGCGGTCTGTAATCGTATGATCCACGGGGAGGGAGGGGCGAACCCTGCCTGGGGGTGGGAAAAAAGACGCGTGAGACTTCCGGCGCTAAACCCAAAGGAGCGGGGCAAACAACAACAAACGACGCGAGAGTCGCGCGTGCGACAGAAACATCAAGGTTCCCAAGGCGTAACTGGCTGGGTACCTGAACCTGAACCACTCAAATCCTGCCGATAGAATCGCTAAGTACCTAGTAGACCACCTTAGTAAACTACTAGTCGTGGTCACCTAACTGACCACTATGTTCATTCGCTTCTTTTTTTTTTCTCTTGCCAACCTCTCCCAGTGTGTTGTGTCCCCATCATCACCTGTTCTCTCTCCAGCCATCGACTATCCACCTTCCCCAACCTTAACCGTCGAAACTCTCCTCCCATAAGGGAAATCCATCGG